TTTTTTTCAATAAATGCACCTTTCAGTGGTAGCTGCTGTAATTTCGCCATGCTTCACTGTGTTTAAAGGCATTCTACTCTATTCTATATGTTGGGCCAATCTCTGTGCTGTAAACATAGTTTAAATTTATTTCAGTCTTCTCACTTGACTTGCTGTCATCATGTTGTTTTCACAGTATTTGCAAAAAACAGTTTGGCTGACAGCTGATGAAGAGTAGAGGACCTTTAATTTACTGGTGAATCACGTAATGAGAATATCTGGGCAGGACAGTTAAGTCTTTCATTACCTCCCATTAGCAGAGATTCTCTCCGATATTATTAATAAATTGAGTCCTTGACCTTCCATAGAATCTACCATTTAGTCATTGATTAAAAACGCTGAGAGTGACAGAGTCTCACTTTAATGTTGGATAAATCCTTTAAGCAGCGGAGACATGAAGGCTTGCTAATTGAGTTACTCATTGCAAAGGTGTTCTTTTACGTAAAATAGCATTGTTCAGCCGCATGAGAAAAACACTGAAAAGAACTGAGAAAAATAAATCTGAGTCCTTCTTTCCTCCAATTTAAAATGCCACTCCGCAAAATCTATATTGTAGCTGTGGTTCATTTCTGAAGGAAGATTTTAAACATTGAATGCTTTTTTCTATATCAAGAGGGACAATCCTGGATTGGATCGGAAAATAAAAGCCATAATTTATGTTTGTGTTCTAATCTAAAATGTCCAACGATGTTACTGTGTGATCTTAATATCAGTAAATATGTCATTATCACAGGATACAAGGCCTCTGTGTTTCATGATCTGTCCAAAAGGATTTCATGATGTGGAGGTAGAGAGCATAACTGACAGTAGCACATTGTGACTGTGACATTTCTTATTCAAGGAAATTGGATAATTATGTTGTGATACCACGTAGACATGTTTGTTAGCTTGAGATAATGAGATGATCGAGTTGTAATTTAGCCATAATTGTGTGTTGTGATCCAAGCTTCTCTGTTTTTATCACCGGTCGGGTGCATGTTCATATTGATCTCTCCCTGCAAAACTGTTGTAGCTAACTATGTTTATAGCCAGTGATTTTTATTTTTTTTTTAAATGCATGCAGAAAAGAAGTACAGAGGTATTGTTATTATTATTGTTGATATATGTAGCATGTATAACAATACTGTCTCTTTATTACATACCGTACGTCCTACATAATGTATGACAAATGTATCAGTGCAAAACTTTGTAGATGATTGCAGTGTAAACAGAAAAAAACATTCATTCAGTTTTGCTTAGTAGCCAAACAGGAACATTGAGAGACCCTAATCGTGTTTTCGCTGATCATTTGTAAGTAGTATAGGTGCAGTTTGGGTTTTGGTCTGCACATCTATCAGCTGTCACAGATTCCAGAATAAAACTCAAACAGAATGTCAAAGTTATAACCAGAGTATTGATCTAAGTACCTGACAAAGATCTCAATTTACAGCTTGAAGTGGTTTGTGCATTTGTAGCCTTCATTAAATACATGGCTTTGACCAGATTACTGGAGCTAATAGCTAAAATCTTAACCAGGATGTTTCCTATTGGTAAAATTAATATTTTGCAGTGTGAAGCACTACAAATACTGCCATGTTTGTTTTCTCATTACTTCTCATTAGATATTAGTTTCCAACGTTTGTGAGAGGGTTGGATTTACAACATCAACATTAGATCTGAAATGGTCAAAACAGGTATATTAATGAGGACATTTTTTACAGAAGCCATAAAATCTGATGTTTATGATTTCCAGAATATCTCTAACTCTACCAGTACTCACTGTAAATGTAAGCACCACATTCACTTAGAAATCTATTCAGAATAATTACATATTGATTGATAACTCTCTTGCATCCTTCTTAAACAGCTAGATGTGTAACTCAGATACACTATCAAAACCACAATGGCAAACAGAAAAGCATAATTACTGCAATCTTCCAAAAGTAACTGTTAAGCATGAATTTTAATCCCATTAATGACAATAGTCGAGCTTCTTTAAAACAGTTCTGAGAAGCTTGATGCAAAAAACTAATCATCCTAGTTAACTCTCTCAAATCTGGCATTCCTCCAAAGGCTTTGAAAACTGAAGTTATTAAGCCTCTCCTCAACATGAGCAGTCTTTGCGTCAGCTACAGAACTGAATAACAATTGGTTTATATCAAACGAACCATTCAGATTATTTATCAAACAAAGGTAGGTAGGAGTTTTTAAAGAGATGAGCTATTTCTGCAATAACTGTCAATCAGGATTCAAGTCCCAATTTAGCACTGAGACTGACTAATTAAAGGTGCTTAATGACATAATCTTAAACAATGACTTTCACAGCAAGACTTTATAGCCACTTTGACAATGTGAACCATTGCTTTTTTTTGGTGCAAGGATTAGAAAACTGGGTTGGACTCTCTGGCACTTATATTGGTCAAAGAAGATTGCAATTAGCTGTGACTACACAAGGGTCCATCTTGGGACCTCTCTCTTTTAGCCTCTTTATGCTTCCTGTGGCCACATTATACAAATAATATGGTCCCATTGATTGTGTAAGTGCATGGAAACAAATCACTTCTCCAACTAATAAGAGAGGAGACAAAGATAATTATCTTTGGAGAACATACAGAAAGACAGAATGCCACATCACACCTTTACTCCCTGTTTTTTTGGATTACTGCAATAATCTGGTTTAGGGATTTCAAAAGAAAACTCCAATTTGAGGGCAACACTATTGCCAGGCTCCTGATGAATACTGGGGAAATGGATCTGTCAATAACCTTTGATACATAGCAAATGTAAAATGTTGTGAAATACATTGTCTTCAAAAATCCAGGTTTGGCTTCTACTAGAGGTTGGATCCAAGCTCAGTGGGGTGGGCTCAGACAACAAATTACATGTTTTGGTCTCAGGTTTGGTTCAGTTATGTCGGCCATACAATAGCCGCACAAAACAATACCTTTTACTGGTCATGTACAAGTGTGTTATCAAAAATAAGCAGGAAAACTGTGTGCATGGCAACAACAACTGCATGACAGTGCTTCAGTTTCCATTAACTTCATCAGTCAAAGGGTTGGGACAGAAATATGTGGCTCAAGCTGCGATCTAATGAGTAGAATGGCATCAAATCACACACAGTCAGTGACACTCATGTAACTTTACTCGGGTCATATGATGCCAGCAAAGTTTCCAAACCCCTGCATGCACACATTTACTAACAAATGTGTATTCAGACCGTCACAATGGTTTGGCTGTGAGAAACCACAGTATGTACCGCTACACCGCACACACACACCTGCTTCAGGATCCCAGCAGCCATTTCATGGCCGCAGTCAAAGATGATGTGGAACTCCTTCCCCCTCTTCATCTCCTTTAAGAGCGGCTTGGCGTCCTTAGTGTCCGCAGGCAGCTGTCGGATCTTTAACCGGATGTTGTACCGGGATGGCGCCTTAATAAGTTCTTGCAACCGAATAAGACCTGCAGAGAAATCCACAAAGAAAAACATTGTAATTTGATACTTTTTTACCTTGACAGTCATTGAGAGCTATTTGAAAAATGAGTCCAGCTGCAATCAATGGGGTCCTTCTCCCATGAGGGCAATACATCTCAACAAAGATAATTTCAAGACATACTGTGTGTGACAACTACTACTGATGCGTGTGCCGATGTTGGTGCTTTTAATTAGAGTGAGGATAAGAAAGCTGCAGTATTAACTATTGGTTTTCACATTTTTAATAAAATCTACTTTTCAAATAAACTCTCACCTGCCTTCTCCAACTATTCTGTATCCTAAACACAATATTGTTCTGTGTCTTTCCATGTCCTTTCGCCTTCTAATATTACCCACAATGCAACTCAACAATCTGTACCACATCTTCTCAGTGTCAGCAGACCTTGATCCTACTATACTAAATAATAAATACAACCGAACAAAGACATATATCAATACTGCACATTACCTGACATTCATCATTCATCATACATGACATTGATTCTGTGCTCGCTATCGACCCCTCTCTTCCTCTATTTGCTGCTCACTGCTGTGTGTAGGACACGTGTAAAGTCAACCTTGCTGGGGAAATTGACAGCGACTTCAGCTGAAGCAAAAACATCTTAATTCTGACACATTAGGCTTCTACTGTAATATCCAACAAGTATTTCTTTGTGGCTGATCAATCGTTTTTGTGTTCCGGCTGAAGAATATGCAAATGTCAGATGCCGGCAGAGCCAGACATTTATGTAGAATGGATTTTGTGGGGCTGTGCATTTTTTTCCCTTATGCAAGCTTTTTCCCATTGAAATGAAGGTTATTTTTCAACATACCACATGATGTTGTTTGCTTGAAGAATGTTAGTTTGTTAAATGAACTGTCTGCACATCTGACTGTCTTCTCTAGACAACAGCATCAGCCAGTTGTTCAAAAGCCTCAGCTCAACATTTGCTTCCAATGCCCATTATTTATTTTGCTATCCATAACCAAGTAGCTCGTGTGGTGAGGGATCAGAAAAGAGCTGTTATCGGTCCATAACCATAATTTGCATTTTGTACCACGCTTCTTCTCCATGATGATCTTCTCAGTCACCCAGAACAAGAACTAGATGGTATCCTGCCAGTTTACAGATATATTAAAACAATATCATGATGAATATTGAAATAAACAACTGAGCATAATCAAATAAATCTGTTAATAAAAAAAGTTGCTTATTGTTACACTGTATAAAGACAAACCCACAAAAACGATATGGTTGCTGGCATTAAATGGAACATGTTCACATGCGCAGAGTGAGCACAACTCACAGGTCAGACTCCATTGACAGGACATTTCTTGTGTTGTTTTCATAATAGAGCAAGATCACACATGGTGCTGCTCGGAGCAGCCACAGTGAACAGTGGACATCCATCTTCCAAGCAGACAAAACTTAAACCCTGTTAAACTGTTTGTCAAGTAGTAGTCATTAGAATTTGAGTTTCATTAGTGGTTACGACCGCTCTACCCCTCAGCCACAGCACCCCCTCAGCTGCAACAGTTGTTTCCCACCTCCAACTTAATTTGCTAACTACTTTAAATATTACTTAAATACTACCTTTTTAAAATTTTCCCTATAAATAGAAATATTTAAAAAGACATTGAATTCATGAAATTCACAAGAAAGTATTTTATGTACACTATGCTCATTACTCATTTTAAAAACTGATCCCAAGTAAATGGCCACTGTTTATCATGAGTGAATTCCCACTGACTGGAGCAGATGCTATTTTAAATACTAGCCAAGTCTGAGTCCTTACATCTACAAACACATACATCAGTCTAAAGTAGCGCAGCAGTCTCCTGTGTCTCTGCCCACAGCCCACCGTCCCCAGCTGTTTGGCCTGTGGCATTATTTGCTTACTTCCTGCTTCCAGATGAGTGCACAGCACTGTGGGAAACCAGCCTGCAGTTTGCTGGAGTGTCGGCATCGAGTCGCTGGTGTTCATTAAATCAAACACTCTGTTGCACATTGATGATGATATCCGCAGAGTGTTGACCTGTGAGACACTGGCAGTGATAGCATTTTCCATTGGATGACAACATAACTCCTCAGCTGTGCCTCACAACATGTCAGCTGGGCACAGAGACACTGCTCTCTCCATTATAAACAAACCAGACTCCAGAGGCCTCACATTGTGTCACAGAGCTCGAGCTGGGCCAACTATGTCTATAAATGTTTATGTGCACGTCGAAAAATAGTAATTGATTGTGGCAGACGTCCCAACATGCGTCAAAGTAAAACCAATAAAACATAACCAAGTGAAAGAAGTGGATTGTGGGAACCTTTTAAAAGGTATGCACACATTGTAATTCCCAAGGGGTGAGAGTTTCAAAGTGACTGGAGATACATCAAAAGCACAGTCTAATTTTTAGTATTAGTTCTTCCCTTGAACCTGGAGCAATGAACCCTGATCACAGGGGCTCAGATGGCTGCTGGTGTTATATGGCTGCTGCAGCTCTGCCTACCACAGCTGGGTGAGGTTTAGGGAAATATTATTGTATGTTTTGAAATACCCACAGGAGTGGAAAAACATTTTAAAAAGACTATAAAGTCTATAAAGTCACTCTTCCAACATGCCTTTAAATGCATCTCAGTATTTATCTGTGCAATTTTTCCTATTTTAATTTAAAGTTCCACAAACACAACAGAACAAATTCACTTGCTGTCCACAATGGTAGCAGGAAGAGTGTGTAGGAAGGATTGGTTCTTGTTTTACTGCCAGTTGAATCTATTATTTAGTTATTAATTTATTTTTACAAATGTACATGTTTTGGCACCTTTCATTCCAATATATCTCACTGTCTGTCTGGACATAGAGCCAGAGGTTTGAGGACAACAATCTCAAAAAGTATGTGAATCAAAAACCAATTACAAGTCAGTCTGTTTGTTTTTTAAAGCAGGAAATCATCTTAGCATTTCAATAATATTCACTTTAGGCCAGTTCATGTTATTTTAAGAATTTGAAAAAAGAACTGGCATATTTTCTTCAGAAACTCTTTCACAAGGCTTTCCAGTCAGTGGCATATTATTTGCAGAACATAACAGATGGACAGACGCTTGGACAGATGGACCCATGCTGATCCATTTAGTCAGTCTCACCATGTCTGACAAATTCTTGATGTGCCCAGGAAGAGTTTTTCCAAAATAGTTCAACATTTTTTGGACCTAGAGGATTGAATGAATTTTACCTGACTTCATTTGCTTGTATACAAGTATATGAGAGAGATGGTTGATGATGCATGAGCTGTCTGAAAATCTGCCTCTGATGCTGGAGCAGCAATCTCCGTTTTACGGTTAGTTAGTCAACATCGATAAAAGCAGCACATCTGACTGCTGCACTCGCTCATCATAAACACCTGTCCGAGCACCTCTCCACCTCTTCCTCTGACTCTTAAAACATCTCTCCTTATATTCTGCATTTGTGTCAGTGCTGATCAGTATTGACAGTGCTTAATGTGCAGCGACTGTTCCAGGATCCATATTTAACTCTGCATGAATATTTCATTCCCTCTAAGCGTTTATTACGGGGCTGTCTGGGAGTCTCCTGAGCGTAAAACAGTTCACAGCTCGCCTGTGATAAATATCCCTGCGTGGGAACGGCCCCTCAAGCCTCCAACTCCCTCTTGAGTGTATCGCTGGTGACAAGGAAGAAAAGTTCCTTTTACTGGGCTGCTCAATCATTATCTGCCGCGGCGTTTAAGTGTTTCCCCCAGATGGCCAATGCACAGCATTGCATGATGGGAGCAATAGTTGAGGAGTCACTGAGCTGCGGACTTCTGGGGTCAAGGTCAATGTGATCCTGGCCACATCAGCTGGCTTAATCATTTTCAATGAAATGCATGGAATATGGTGAAGGATTGAAGCAGGCCGTTGTGCTGTTCAAGAGCGTGGAGGCCCAACATGCATGCCTCTGTTCCTTCACTATGAACAGACCTGCGGGTGTAAATGTGGGCCAGTCACAACAGTAAAAATTATCTTTTTTATGAGCTACATTAGAGTTCTTCCGGCTCTGCAGTTAACTCTGACTTTCACATATATACTCATGGTGGAGAAGATATAAAAAGTTGTTCTTCTGCCACAAAATGGGTTCAAAGTAATTAGTTTGGAAATGAGAGCAAATATCTTAAGTAGTAACAAATCAAACATGTATTAACAGGGGTGGAGCACAAAAAACTAGGCCGTCTCAGTGGACCCCATTCTCCTCCTCATACATCCATTCTCACACATTGATTAATACAACCAGCAACTGAACACATGCATCTGGAGCGGTGAGAAGGTTCACACCACGTTCAAGCATTTCAAACAGTATATCTGAGCCAAGCACATATCAGCCATACCTTGCTTTCGACATTTTTCAGAATTGTTGTATCAAATCCACATTTGACATTACAGGATCAGATAGAATAATAATCAAAATCAAGGTAATCATGGCATTGTGAAATCCTCCATTAATATTTAAGAACCCAGCACACTATTGAGAAAGTGTATTTCATCCTTTTCACAACAGTTGCAATGTAGGTAATTTTTAAAATTGATTGTGACTTGTGACAGTCACTAAAAGCAGCAGGGGCTCCTTCTGAGTGATGTTGTACACTGTTAGGTCGATAATCTGCTCTGCTCACCTGGAGTTGGATGCATTAAAGGTACAGTGTGTAGAATTTTGTGATATCTAGTGTTGAAATTGCATGTTGCAGCTGAACACCCCTCACCTCACCCTCTCCTTCCAAACATGAAAGAGAACCTATGGTATCCTTCAGTCATAATAAAAACTCAAAAGGTGTTTAGTTTGTCCAGTCTGGACTAATGTAAAAAACATGGCGGCCTCTGTAGAGATGATGATGTAAATATAAAGTATTTAAATATAAAGGGTCTTTTCCGGGGTAAAGAAAACTACAATTCATACGATTTAGATTAAATGAACTAGTGAAAACATTATGAGAATTATTC